CCCCAAAACCCCAAAACCCCAAAACCCCAAAACCCCTAATAAAAATGAGAGGATTGAATAGTTTACCCAAAACTTCCTATTAAGAAGCTTATTTGTATTGCTTAGCTCTTGCTAATAACTCTTCAGCAGATCCAATTATTCTTGTGAATGTTTCTTTGTCTAATGAGATTACATACGTTTCAGTACGAGAAATAATATTAGCTGCTCTAGGAGCATCATTTAATAAGGCTAACTCCCCAAAGTAACTTCCTGCTGAATAATGCATAACTTCTACAGGAGCTTGCCCAGGTTCATATCATTTGGTGGCAACTGCCTCCCCATCTATGACAAAATAGAATTTATCTCCTTTCTCCCCTTGTCTGATAATATAATCTCCTGATGAGAAATTCTCATCTACAATTCCATCAGCAAGAGCGACTCTTTCATAAGGTTCCATCCCTTGAAGGATACTAACACTAGTAAGGAACTCTTCATACTTCTCTCTTCTCTTCAACGCTGCATCCTTAATAATATGGTTAAAGGTGGCTCTATCTAGAGCAATCAAAGTTCCTTCTTCTAAAGATTGGATAGAAGCAGCCCTTGGACAATTATATAATAATCATAACTCTCCAAAGGCCTCTCCAGAAACATAATACCTCAAATGAGTCGGAGTAGAGTCTCCAGGAAATGTCTTAAATCATGTATATTTTCCAGTAGATACAAGGTACATATCGTTTCCGTCTTCTCCTTGTGTGATGACCATTTCTCCTCACTTCACTTTGACCACTTTCATTGCATCAATTATCACTTGAAGGTCAGAGTTATTAAGGTGCTTAAACATGAAGTTATGTAGGATCTTATCTTTGATAACTTCTACAGTCTCTTCATCCTTTGGAATTCATCTTGGTTCAAAATCTTCTTTCTTATTCCAATTCCCATAAACTTCAGCGGATACAGAAGCTCGAGGTTTCCATCCTTTCTTTGTTCTGGCAGCTCTAGCTTTGGCAATCGTGTCATCAGCATCAGAAGAGTCTGAATCTGAGTTGCTTTCAGAAGAAGAGTCTGAGTCTTTATCCTCCTCTCCATCGAATAAAGCAATTTGCTTTCTCAATAATTCAAGCTCAAATCTTTTTCCTTGATTAATTGATTTCCTATTTCCATAATTCTGTTTTATCCAATTGATCATATATTCGGTGGGGTTGTCTGGCTTAACAGAGACAAGTTGAACCATCATTGGTTCTAGTATATTGTTAACCTTGTTCTCTAAATACTCGTGATCTTTTAAATGCTGGACACTCATTATGTAAATCAAATTTTATTTATACTTTATTCAGCATCGATCTTAATCGAAGGGGTTTTGGGGTTTTGGGGTTTTGGGGTTTTGGGGTTTTGGGG